CTAAACATTAATTTATTTTTATATGATATCAATAATATCAATTTGTGCAGTTGCAGAAAAGTGTGAATAAATTACACCTTAAAATACATTAAAACCACTTAAAATACATTACAAACTTAACATTTTCTTTCGTTAAGGTTTCATTAAAATAATAAAAGTAAAATACCAATCTTAATATTGATTTCCTTGCTCAATTTGAATATAATCAGCATATGTGATTTTTTGTATTAAATGTTATGTAGTATGTTAACAATGAAAAAAAATTTTAAGTTTCTTTTTTATATTAATGAATAGAGAAAAATCATAACTGTAATGTGGCATAAAATTCAAAGAATTTTATTATTGTGGGATATACATATATTCAAACAAGATGCATTCAAAATATAAGCTAACATGTGTACATACCCCCAAATTTTTAAATTAAAACAGCATTAACACTCGATCAAAATATCCGTACATAGATAGATACATCCAAATATTATGGAAAATGTCATGATATTGTCAAACCTTCCTTTTATTTTACTAACTTTAGCTCTTTTTTTTTTATAGAAAAGCTACAAAGCAAATATTCCAAGCTAAAGTATCAGTTTCAGCGGAATATGAAAAAAATTAAACATCTTAAAAGTGGTTCTGGCTGTGAAAGCATCACTGTGCTATGGATGCATTTTAATGCTCTTCAATTCCTTGATGGAGTTGACGAGGCAGACGACAGCTTCTCTACTTTGGATGGTGATAATAATAAATCGACCCAGGTATAATTTTATAAGTTTCCTATTTTATTTCAGTTTTAACTAAAACTGCTTTAACTAATTTTAGTTTTAACTATAATACTATTTTAAAGTTTAAGAAATTATTTTGTTACTTTTCCTGATTACAAAGGTCTATTTGTGATCATAGTAAATTATTGGTACTTGCTGTTCGAAAGTGTAAAGCGTCAGGTGTATAATTAAAATGTTTCATGAAAACCACTATTAATGCATTAAAATTAAAATTATAATAACTAAACAATTAATGCATTAAATTTTTTTTTTTCAGAACGAGCTGACCTTCATACATAATAAAGATGAATCCATTTCACATTCTGCCGGGATTGATCCTGATGTGAGCTTCATTTCAATGGAATGTTTTGAGGATGACGAGAGAATTCCGGAAGAGTGGAGGGATTTTGCAGAGGAACCAGAACCCTCATCGTGTGAAGTTTCTTCTCCAAAAACAAACCTGCCAGAACCTCCAATTGATTCAACACAGAAGTTCAACACTGGTGAAACTTCTACAGGAGAAAATCACCAGGGCGTTTATAAGCGAGCAGCTTATAAACGCAAAAGAAAATCAACTACAACTTCCGGTGATGATTTTCTTGAAGAAGCTGTAAAAGCATTGAAAAAAATTCCTCCTAAGCAGGACGATTCCATGGAGGACGCTTGCGGGAAGTACATTGCCCACATTCTTAAATCAATTCCTGATTTGGAAAAGCGACAGAAAGCACAAAAAAAACTCATNAAACCAATATTCTGCAAATGATATCCAGAATTTGAAAGTAAATAAAATAATTTTCGCTCACTAGGTCAATGTACTTAAATGTGAAGGTCAGAAACTAAAAACAGGACCGTCGCAAGGGAGAAATTGAAGTATGCTAAGGTCCAGCTCGGGGCCCCGGGTGCGCCGTACCCGTCACACAAGAGTGTGCCCCTGGGGGGAGAATTCCTGAACGAGACATGGAGGAAGAGTGGAGGGATTCTGCAGAGGAACCAGAACCCTCATTCTGTGGTGAAGTTTCTTTTCCAAAAACAAACCTGCCAGAACCTCCAATTGATTCAACACAGAAGTTCAACACTGGTGAAACTTCTACAGGAGAAAATCACCAGGGTGTTTATAAGCGAGCAGCTTATAAACGCAAAAGAAAATCAACTACAACTTCAGGTGATGATTTTCTTGAGGAAGCTGTAAAAGCATTAAAAAAAATTCCTCCTAAGCAGGAGGATTCCATGGAGGACGCTTGCGGGAAGTACATTGCCCATATTCTTAAATCAATTCCTGATTTGGAAAAGCGACAGAAAGCACAAAAAAAACTCATGAAAACCGCATTTAAATTTTTATTGTAAATTTTAAGATTGTATAAAAAGGTTTTAATCTACTCAATTTGCTTGTATTTTTTTTAAATTAATTTTATGAAGATATCGTGAATTGATTCAAATTAATTTAATTTTTTGTTTATCTTTCAGGCCTGAAATCTACTTGTGTATAATACATACAATTTATTAAAACAATGTTTTCTCTATTTTTAAAAGTTAAACTATTGTTGTTTAATTTTTGAACAATCGCTTGAAATTACAGTTGATGCTTGTTTCATTGTTTTCTAACAAAGTATAATTAGTTTATCTTCTGAATTAAAAGTGACGTTAGTGATTCAGAATAAAAAAAATAAATAAATCCTTAAATAAACTATATATCAAGTATATACCAAATAAAAAATATTTGTAAAATTGTTATTGGAAGAAATCCTTATTTAAAATTCAAATTAGCTTATACCAATAGCAGTTCTGTAGTTTCTCCTAAAAGGAAAAATGTTAAAATGTGTTGTATTTAAATTGTTCAAGCCAATACAATATACTTCAAGATTGTATTAAAAGAGGTTAAAAAATTATTTATTTGATCACAAAAAATATAAGTACAATCATTATAGAATATATAAAAATTTATTTACAAGTAGATTTGTACAATTGATTGGAAATAAGTATATACAGTCAAACTTTCAAAGAAACAAAAAATTTTGTAATATTATAAATATCCAGGATTAAAAATTTAACATTTTTAAAAATTTGGACATATTGACGATATTGATAGTTTTATACTTTCATTTAAAAAATAGCAAATCGATGAAAAAATATTTTTGGTACGAAAATTGATACAACTGCATGTAAAATAGATTTAGTGTAAATCGCACATGTCCTCCTGCCAAGGAACAGCACCAGACCCATTGAAAAAATTGAGAAATTTTGTCCTGATTGCCTTGGCAACAAAGGATACATGAAAGAAAAAAAAAGGTCAACCATAGGATTAATAACAGGGTGGCCACTCAAATCAGATTTCAAATTTCCCTGATTTTTCCAGGTTTTCCAGATAAAAATCTTAAAATTTCCAGGTTTTTGTTTCGTTTTTCCTATAAAGTGTAGGATGTGTACAAGAAAAGTGTCATTATTATAAAATATTTTATTCAAAATGCTACTTTTTTTAACATATCATCTTGAAAAAAAAATTTTTTTTTGACAATTTGGCAAGATATTTTATTTATTTTTCAAATGTTTTCAAAATTTTGAATCAAAAATCATGTATTGACCAACAAAAGAGTAAAATGAAATATTAATATATAGTTGGTTCCTACAAAAAATTTTTTTAAATATATGTTATAAAAGGTTAAAATGAAATTGAAAAAATTAGCATTAATGCAACAATTGTAACAATTTATCGACAAACATTGCTGTTAGCGATTGTAAAAAAAAATGAGCGATTGGTTGGTTTGCTGAGAAAAAATAATTCACAGATTTCTTTGAATGGAAGTAGAAAAGCTTTTAGAAAAAGAGTGCAATATAAAATCTATTATTATTAAATTATAACCAACGATTTTTGGAGAATTTTATAAAGTTAAAAATACAAAAACATTTTGTCAAAATAGAAAAAAAAATTACCGCCAAAGTATCGGAACAAACTTGAGCTATAAATGGACTCAGCTCAAGGACAGAATTTAAAAACAGAAACTAATATCCTAATCTCTTTTTCCATCTCCACCAGAATCTTTCCTAAATTGCACAGTCCCATAGCAGTCAAAGGTTTCTGCATTTGTTTAGCAACCGTGGGAGAATTTTATGTGGTATTCTAGTTTGACAAAGCTGTAAAAAAATTCCCTGATAATTCCAGGTTTTCAAGGTTTTCCAGGGGGGTGGCCACCCTGAATAATGGTACTATGAGTCCAATCATTGCTATTGATTTCCAATTAAAACTAAATCTTACAAATTGGTCATATTTACCTGTTGCTAGGTATCTCAGGGTAATTGCTAACCTTTCCCCAGCTGGTATAGCTTCACGCATGCATGTATTTGTTTTGCTTATCATTGGTTCGACTTTCTTCAGCAAATACTGAAAGCTATCGGTATCCATTCGTAAATACCTCCTGTAGCTTTCCTGGTCCTGAAATAAAAGTAAAATAATTTATAATAAAAACCAATCAGCAAAAGAACCCATCTTCTAAATTAAATTTTTCCTACCACAATCTAGCAGGTACCAAAAAAAAATTTAATACAAATAATATTTTGCTGAAAACATTTGGTAAAAAGTAAACATTTATAAATTTAAACTAATAATTTCACAAATATATGAATAACAAGATATATGAACAGGAAATTAAAGTAATTCTCGAAACCACTTTCTTCCCTTTTAGTTATTGCAAAGACATATACTTTATTTATATAACAATAGAGTATCTATAACTCCCTACAACAGCGGCAGTGCTCAATGTTTTTGACTCTTGTGACCTAAACAACTAATAAGATTTAAGCAAATATCCTACAAAACATTGTCCAAATTCAATAATTAATACACATAATTTTGTTACTAATAATTCCACCCCCTCCCCAAAAAAAATCAATATGGTTACTATGCTACTCCCATCACCATCATCAGCCTGTTAGCAACGGGAAGCCACTTTTTAGTTTTAAAAATATACAAAATACAGATACAAAAAAATTTAAAACATAACTATGCTAATAAATATTTCCTTTTCTATTTTATTGAACTTCTGAAACATTTCAATATTCATAGAAATAATTTGTTTTGTCGGAAAATCAACA